AAAGACATGAGATACCAAGTCCCCTCCCCTCACCTTGTTTCAGTGGAAATAGCCACCAAACCCTTAGATGTGAGGTTCAAAGAATCAAAAAATACAAGTCTGGAAGGGATTTAGACACTCTGCATAGGCTTTAGGCTCAAGCAAGTATCAGGTACATCCACATCACTCCCTGCAGACACCTGCTTAAGTTGTTATGGAGCTGCTGTAATACTGGCTTGCTCATCTTCCTAAACCAAGTTATGCCAGCAAAGATGAGTAGAATTTTTTAGTGGTAAGGATAGTAATGTCCACTCTGTAGCACTCCTTCTGTAATTTAAACTTACTTCTTATTCTATCCATCTATTCTACCCAAGACAGACTGTGCCTTTCCCTTCCACAAGAGACTAAATGCTTCAAGCTTATATCCATGGTCATTTCGTCTCCTTTTTAAGCAACCCCAATTCTTTCCAACTGTCCTCAGGCGTCTGACTGTTCCTGCTGCTCCTCCCTAGGCTTCTTCCACTGGTGTATGCATATATTTGTTTTCTTTAAGAGCATGGTACCCAGAGTCAAATGCTATACCCTATATAAGTCTTCCTGGTAATAAGCAGAAAGGAAAAGTCACTTTGCATGAGTGCAGCCAGTAATTCTTTCTACTTCTCAGGATGACACGCTTCTTTCTCAGTACTGTGATAATGTGGACTTACTCAACATCCTGTCCCCGTAATACCTAGATCATCCTTGCAGCCCTGCCCGTTGCCCTACTCCTGCACACCGTAAAGTAAGAGGCTGCAGCTGCCAGAAGAGCAGGGTCCTGCCCTCTGTCTCTGCACTCAGCCATACAATTTCACTCCTCCTTTTCCTCTTGTGATCATAAAGTGAGACAATCCAACTTGCTATGTTGCCAAACTTCTGAGTGTAGATAGCCTGCAGCTGGTAATAGCATTAATGAAAAAAGCAGCACTGAGCTCTTTGATTCATCTATCCTTATTTTACACCCCTAATATTTCACTTCTCTGTGCAGCCTTTCATTAAGGGGGTGGCAGCAGCAGCAGCAGTTAACATTGCTTTAAGCACACTTCCTTACTAACAAACCTGCCCAGAACATTTCACCCAGGCTTCAGCTTGCCTGTGACCCAAGCCTGTTTCTACTGGTGCAGGTGGGAGGGTGGATGGAGAGAACTATAACCCCTATAGCCCTTGCGCTAGGAAGAGAGCAAACAGCATTATTATCAAGAAGCACACATTCAGGATAGCCAGTTTGTACTAAGAAAACTCTTTGCCTGTGAAAATACTTTTGGTACCCTAACTAGTACTTACAAGCTGCTCAGGGATTCACAAGGAGTCACATGTTCCTCTTAACACTGACATTTTCTTCCCTGAAACCTTTCAAAAGCTTTTACACACAGCCAAAAGTATAAAATATTAAACCTGAAAGTCATTTATCCATATTATCTTCCTGCTTATTTTTTTTGCTATTTTTAAGCAAACAGAAAAAAGTTTTGCTTGTAAAGAGTGGATCTGTATGTAAGTTGTGACTATGTGTGACTGTGAGTACATGCATGAAGCAGCATATGCCAGCTGTGTAAAATAGTATCACCTGGGGATCCTGGAGACAATTTGCTAACTGTAGTATTTCTAGGTTGGGAGATAAATGAACGAGGAACAAAAGGTGATACTGGGCTTTCTAACATAACGGTAAATTGGAAATGAGCTGAACACACAGCCCAACAATTAGAGAAATTCTGTAATGGAGACATCTATGAAAGCACTAAATAGAGTGCATGCAGGCATTGGTATGCACAGATTTAACTTTTATTGTTTATAAGTTCACCAAGCACACCCTTCAAAAATGGAAGTACTAAAATGAAACAAATATTTTGTTAGTAGCGTAACTGTGGACACTAATCATCCCCAATGAAAGCATGGGGGGAAAAAAAAAAAAAAAAAAAATCTAATTAACTTGTTTCCAAAGCATATACCAGCATCTTGATTTTGAAGATAAGAAAAGAAAACCCAGAGTAACAAAGAGGTTAAATAACACAGCTAAATCAGAGTAAACCACAAGCCCACACATTCTGGTAAGGCAACATTTTAAAAAAGCAGCAGTCTCAATTCCCCATGTAGTAGACATATGTCAAAACAACTCTTTTGATTTCCTTCAGACTGTGATTTCAGCACATCCGTTGTCAAAAGATATTACATCAATTATTTCAGAATACTGAAAATATTCAGTAGTTCCTAACAACGGTAGTACAATATGTTATTACACGAGATGTTTTTTCTTGTTGCTTTTTCCTTTTCTCCAGTAACTGACAGAAGGTAAAGGCTAGCTAAAAGAATTATCATTTTATTTTTTCCAGACAGTTGTTCTTAGAACTTTTCAATATACCAAAACACTTCTTTCCAATTCATCATGCATAGTCAGGTCCACCTGATGGTATTTCAACAGTCATTCATATTCCACAATCCTGAAGGCACACAACTGACCAAAACACTGTACCTTAAGATGCAGAGTGTATTCAACAACCAGAAACATGGAGAAAAACAACCTGTAGTATGACTTATGCTGGAAAAAATACGAAAGTGTTTATCCTGCACATCTGCTCGTGTTCTCTACACTTCCCAAGAAAACAGCGCGCTCAGCAGAATAATCAGCAGTGTCATCCTACACACACACCGTTACAAACTAGTTAGCATTACTATTTAAAAAAGCAAAATCTGAAATCTCTACATTAGCCTTGGCCTTAAACCTCAATTTTGTTAAAAGTGTCATCTTTAGGCACAATATTTGCAAAATATTTTCTGAAAGTAACACCAGCATAAACAATGTAGTAAAACCTGCTTCCACCTGCAGAGGGTCCAATAACATACCCACAAAATGCTCTACTGAGCTGAATTAACTGAAACCCGGAGTCAAAAATCAGCATTTAGAAGAAGTATTCAAATCACAACCCAGCTGTTACAACGGTACTTTATACACATCCCAGTTGACCCGAGGATGATAAACTTGTCTCACTTTTCCTTTTGTTGAAGGGACAGCTAGTGCTTTAAGAAATAAATATTTTTTTTACAACTAACAGGACAGATACTATTATGCTATGGACCAAATTAATCTCTTTGTTAATAGAATTTATTTCACACAATTTATTTCCAACCAATTTCTGGGTCAAAAAAATCCACTCATTTCCTGCGCAGTTGCATGACCCCAGTGTTACATTGACAGCAACTTGTACAATATTTTAACAGTCTCAATTCAGAAGCCTATGCCATATTAAAAATCTAAGACAGTATACCACTAGACGAAAAAAAATACAGTCTTAAATGACAGCATCTATTCCCAGACAAAATACTTGTACTTTTAAAGATGTATTTGAACAGCATAGGATTACAGATCAGTGATTTAGATGCATCACAAAGCTAGGATTCCTACATAAATGTGTAAGGTTGCCATGGGACATACAAATTTATGAGTGACAAAAAAAAACAAACCACAAAACCAGAACAGTCCTGCACAACTACGTTTCCCGACAAAAACACGTTAGAACACAGGAATGTTTACTGTTTCGTGCCCCAATGCACTGACCAGTCTTGAAGATAATGAAACATTTACTGTTTCTTCTAGGGCATTCGTTTCCACATTGTTAGGAAAACAAGTTTTTCTACCTTACTAATTTATGCGATCTAAACAAGCTACTTAATCCTAGAAATATGACTTTGATACTCAGGAAGAAACCCTTTATCGAGGTTTGTAAGGACACAAAAAACAACACACAAGCATGAGCAAAGAAAAATAAAAAACACAACAAAAACCTGCCTCAAAATAAGGAAAATCTTGAAAACTGTCACAGTCTAACAGTGGAAGGATAAAAGCTAGAACCAAACAACAGTTATGATTCAGGTAACAGGGAACAGCCCCACACTCGCATGAACATGCTAGTTTTTGAGATTCTAATGTCACTTTCAAAAAACAATGCCATTAAGCTCTTACTGGAGAAGACAGAAAAAAGCATTAACTGCATTAAACGTAATTTTAAGGCTAGGAGAATTTGAAACAAAACTGATTATCTGAACTCCTAAATTGTGGCGCTGATGAGAACATTTGAGAAATGCGTAGGTAGACTGTCTAGGTAGTCAATCTCAGCCTTGGCACAGAACACCTATCACAGGAATAATAAAAACCAGTGTTCAGCAATGCTCAGTCTACCCAAAGCACCTCTTACTTCATATCTCCTTTCACTGCTTCATGGCTGAAGTGCTGTTCATATTCCTCAAGAACTGGGTAGAGATTGTTTTTTGCTAGCATACGCTGTAACTTTATTTTGTATGTGTTTTCCCCCCCCCCCGAGTTATTTAGGAAGACAAAAATGGTATTAACAGCTGTGTAGCCAGTGACCTTCTGGAGCTCAAGGTTGTACAGCATTATTACTGAAACACATGAACAGAAACTAAAATCTTAAGAAAAATTATAGTCACACAGCAATCAACACACAGAGCATCCTGGCCCTTTGCTGTTCATCATCTTGTAGAGTATCAATGTATATCAACTGAAACAATTATGCTGTTGATAGCTGTGGATTAAGGAATGCTGTTCCATCACTGCTTACATTCTTGAGGTTCTTGTCTAGAATGGATAATAAAAGAATTTTTTCTACCCCTGGCCGCTTGATGCTATTGCCGGCTTTGGCAAGCATAAAGATGGAATCACAGCCAATAAGGAAAACTGGAAGACTGGCTTGACCTGCTCAATCTGGCTGGCAAAATGCTCTTCGCATTCCAAGCAGCAATGAGTGTGGCTGTCAGGACAGTGAGCAACATAACATTATGAATGCAGTTCAAAATGAAAAGTAACCAGCCTGAAATCTTCTGGTTATATGTAAGATAGGTGCATCCAAGAAAATTTGATTAACATAAAGTTGTGTGTTTTGTTTTTTTTTTTATCTTCTGCTTTGTAATACAAAAAAATATACAGGCAATTACACAATTGGTATCTGTCCACATTATTAAGCTCAATGGTTTACCATTCCGGGGGCACCATACTTCCATCAACTTCCCAAAACGTATTTTTGCCATTCATTTCATTAGTGTAGCTGACCCATCTGTGACGACCTTAAATTAACAAACACAAATATTGTATTAGGTCAAAAAACCAAACGATTTTCCAATAAAGGAGAGAATTCATGAAAACACAAGGAAAAGTATTTTGACTACAAGTATCTACCATTATGGGCACTTACTTCAAAGCCAGTACAGCTTTCATTTTTGTAAGTCTTCTGTATTTTTATATGGCTGAATCCAACACTCTCACAAGGGAGCAATTATTAGCTATTGTATAAACAATGAGAAACAGGAACTTATAAAGTTTTCAGGCAGAGAAACAGGTTTGGGGATTTTTTTTTTCCCCATTAAGAGGAGTCCTTTCCAAATGGACATTGCCATTAGTAACCCATGATTAAACTAAGTTTCAGCCATATAAAACTACCAAGCAATGTTTACCAGCAACTGCTTTCCCCAGGTACCCTACAAGTTAACCTATAGTAGGCAGAGCTTGGCCTAACCAGTGTGACAAGAGTCAAGTGCTTATGTGTCACCTTTGTTGCTTTAGGTGCTACCTTTCTAAGTACTCTACAAAGGTTATTTAAAATCCCGTTACTTAAGGTAATAGGAAGTTTAAGCTAACCTGTGTTTCTTTGCCCTGAAGTGATCATACAAGTAAATACAGCTGTGAGGCAGTTTCAAAGGCAGTTCTCTTTCTTCCATGCCTGTTAAGCTACCAGCTTTTAGCTCAAGGACCAAATTCAGGTCTCAATCACATTATCTTATAAGCACACCTACACGTAGAGCATCTACCTGGCTTGTATTTATCCCATATTTATTATTTCAGATTGACTATGTCTGCAAATGAATTGAGGGAAGCAGTAAAGAGACAAAAGATGTCAAAGCATTTCTATGGCCCCCTCTCGCACACATCAAGCGCGAGGAAGTCGGGCAGGCAACAAGTTCTATTTCACCAGCAGAAACTACACAAGCTATAAAAAGTTGGACAGCCAGTCAGGAGATGTTCACATTAGCACACATACCAAAGAAGTTTCTTCTGTCTTCATAGTATTTGTTTCCATATTTGTCAATTCCTACCAGCGTACCAGTCTTCAAATCATTGACCCTGTGAATTCCCAAAGCAACAGTTTCAGTTGACATCATCTTACAATGAAGTTGTGATAGAGGTTTCTTATGGTTGGTAAAGATCTGTAATGAAAACTCTTAAAGACATATATGTAAAGCTGTTAAAAAAACTATTCAAGCTTAAGTATCGCAAAACATAATCACCAATTCCTGCAACTGCTGTCAGCACGCCTTTACCATGCGCCCCACTGACAGGATAATAAAAGTCATACAGAAAGGCTTTGGGGGGCTATTCATCTAAAAGCTCTTTATAGAGGAAGATAAAGCAACTCGGCAATACAGTGTAATTTAACACTCACAAAACCTTAAATACTGTGGAAGGGAGTCCCGGAAACACATGTTAATTCACTTAGTCAAAGATGTTACCATCCTTCCCAACTCTTTGTTACTACCATTTCAGCTTGAAGTGCCATGGGAAGTGGTCAGCACTGAAGCAGCTTAAGAGATGTCACACATCTGTGTGGGCACTAACCTCCAGGAGTAGCACTACACACACTCTCAACTCAGTCCCAAGTGACAGCAGGGATGTGCACATGCATGCTTCCTTAGTTGGAAGTTCACTGTATTAACCCACAGATAAAGCTTTTTCGTTGTCTTTTCCACCACGGTGCACAAAAGCGATAATCACTCCACCAAGTGCTCGTTTTAAACCTCTGTGGTCCCAGGCAGAAACATTCTCTGACACAGCTCACCTCTGTCAAAGGAACACTCCAAGATCTCTGGCTCAGCTATCCAAGCCTGAGCTCCTAGCTTCAGAAAAAGAGCTATTTCACTGCTGCTCTCCCTTCCTTCTCCCCCCTCACCCCCTTTCTTTTAAGAGTTCTTACGCCTTTGTCCTGACTTCATGCCCCAAATACCTCTTAGTGTTTGATCTCAGTATTTATGGCTTTCCGAGGACACTTTCCAGCCAATTCTACCGAGTCTTGAATAAGGAGAATGTTTCCAGACCCACAGGGTCTTAATAATTTGACTTGTACTGCATAAAACCTGTTCCAGCCACCTTAGTGGGAAACATGCAGAGAAAAGCAGGGAAATTCAGAATAAAACCCTTGCAGAGAAAGAGTCTCCTGACTTGCGTAAATCATTTTTCCAAGTTACCAGTAATTACTTCTTAAACACATCAACTGCTGCAAGAAAGATACACCTTGATTACTCTTCCTGTAAGCACCAAGTCTATCCCTTGAGCTGGGATGGAAGATTCAATGGCTTGAAAGGTAAAGGGGAGGCAGCAGCTATGTTTGTGGTTGGCACAGTTATGAGGATCAGGTGTGATTCTCCACCTAGCACACCTCTCTTCTAAATTCAGTCTTCTGAAAGAAAAAAACGGCCTCCAGTCTTGCCTGCTCTCCTTTTTTTGCAGGGCAGAAAGGTGTCAACATAGCCTGGGATCTTTGACTCACAAAAGCTCCCTCACAAGACATTCATTAAGATGTGCTTAGGAAAAGGCACTCTGGTGAAACGTAATACTCAAACTCTTCTACACTTCTATTTCCCCAGCTCCATTTCTTCTTGAAAGCAGCCAGTATAAGAGCTACAGCCTGAGACGGGAAACAAAGTGGAGAAAACAACTTTGGGGGCGTGGGTGTGACAGAAAATAATAGTAAAATCCTAGCCAGGGAAATCATGTATTGTTTTCACTATGTCATGGTTTAACCAGGACCAACTCATACTGCTTAAGAGCTTGAAATTTTCCTCTAAAAATCTGTGCAAGAGGAAGGTATACCTAAGCTGCTTTCTGCAGTGGAGACAGAAAAGCCAGAAGCTGCCTGTCACCACAGCTAGTAGGAATAAAAAGTTGAGACCTCCCGAAAGTCAAGCTGACTTCAGAAAAGCATACAATATTGTGCCGCAAAACAAATGAGAAACTAATTTAAAATGTATAGTAATTGTGAAGGGAGCAGTACACTGACTAACAGGAAGAAGACAACCTGCTCAGCTGAAAAAAGAAATACAGAGCTAATTGAAGGTTACTAGTGAAGTTCCGCAAAGAATGTTGATGGTAGTAGCCTTATTTAACACTTTACACGGTTCCTGACCAAAACAAAACCAAAACAGAAACCCCACCCCCAAAAAGCCCAGGGGTCTGTCAGGTTACGGGATTACCATACAGAGGAAAGTCACATTGTTGTACACGAAGTTTTGTACTGCCTTCAGGGTGATACCACCAGAACGAAAACCAACAGTATGAAGGTCACAGCGCAAGGTGGTGCGCCTGGAGACTAATAAGATCTGAAGCACTGTGCACGTAATCAGAAGGAAGACATCTGGATGTCACACGGCAAAAATGAGCTGCCCGTTACGTGACACGTGAGGAAAAAAGAGACAAGCTGATCCTAGGACGTACCAGGTGAACTGAGTTGTCCTCGGTGAACAAAGCAAGCGCTAAAGCCACTGCATGAAAATACTGATGAGGCCCAAGCAACTGTGTAAAATGTGATATTTAACTGTTCAAAACACATCAATTTAAACAGCAGGAAATAACAGAAAAATGGCTATTATGATAACTGGAAAAAAAAAAAGTCTTCCAGAAGGCTCAGAAACCTTGGCTTGTTTATTCTAGCATAAGAGAGCTCTTGACAGACAGCAGAGAACTTTACCTTTGCGAATCCTCACCTTCCCATTCTCCTGCCTTCCCACTTTTTGGCTCTGCGGTCAGGCCTACAACATTCACCGCACCCTGAAGAAACGTTCTGTCACTTCTCCACAAACAGCAACAAAGCTAACATAGGTCACTGCCACTGCCGAGTTTGGATCGCGCACCCTTCAGACCTAGATCTGAACGAAAAGGAGCACCGGAGTAAATCCGCAGCTCCTCCTGTTTGGGAGGAGCGCCAAGCACTCTGTATCGCAATTCAAAATACTCTTCACGAGGTCGAGATGAGAAGTGAGCCCAGAAAAAAGGTAAAAGGAAGTTTCATGGGGACGAAGGCGAGGTTCTGTGCTCGGGGAACAACGGACAGACACGGCTGGAATCGAAGGCTCCAGCTAATTCTGTAGAAAGCGCCTCTGGGGCTGGAGGGCACCCACAGCCGAGCCCAGGCCAGCGGTGACAACCCCCTGTCGCCAAGGAGGCAGCCGCACGGCTCCCACGGGTTG